TTATTATACGGACCTTGTGGAATCTAGAACGAATTTCCGTGCGTTTAGGCGTTTTTGCCATACCTATTATTGGAAGCAAGTATAACAGCTCACACATAGGACCCACTTAGTTTTTAGTCAAATTTCCGTGGTGCTTGGCGACTGGGCTTCACCCAGTTGTACAGTCTCTTCTTTGTGCCTTTAGGCTTAATTCATTCTGTCTCCTGCAGTAATTCACCGAGGGAAGTGAAAACCATAGTTTTTCTTCTTCTCCTCTTATAATATCTTCTGATTCACTTCGTTGCGGGAACCGAGACAGTTACTCATGTCCCTGAGACGCGTCGGACTTCAGTGTTCCGGTGTTTTCATGGTTGTATCTACTGTAGATCCTGGCTTACAGGAGTTGCAGCGGTTTTGGGAGGTTGTGGCGGGCTTGTCCCATTACAAAAAAATACACGTTAAACTAATACACGTATAAAAATAAGGAAAGAAATAAATATGTACAACTTAAAATAAACTAAAGGAAAACATTTAATAAAAGAAAACTATAAATGACTATATAAAGAGAGTATCAAAAAATCCGTCCGCATCGACGTCAGTAAGGAAAGTACCCAGAAGGCTGACAGCATTGCCACGGTCAAAGGTTAAGCATTGTCAATGCTTAACCTTGTTAATCTAATTTAATCAAGGCTAATCACTTGATGGTAAGCAAGAGCAACACAGCACCTGATAGTAAGCAAGATAAAACGCTATGTTTCGTCGAGTTAGTGAGGTTACCGGAGGCCCAATTACTTCCCACCCCAATCTCCTCTACCCTGAATCCCTAATCCTCTAATCCTTGAACGGGGACACGGCAGGTAACGCACTTGTTTTTTAGCGACAAGCCCGCCACTACTTTTCTTCTCTTATAAAATCTTCAGAATTATTTCGTTGCGGGAACCAAGACAATTGTTTATGTCCCTGGGACGCGCCGGACTTCAGTGTTCCGGTGTCTGCACGGTTGTATTGTATCTACTGATCCTAGCTTACAGGAGTTGCAGCTGTTTTGGGAAGTGATGGCGGGCTTATCCCAATAGAAAAATCTTTACTAAATATCCTATAATTGTAACTTTATGAATGAGAGGAACGAAGTCTTACCTTTAAGTTGTTCCAAATACGTGACTTTCCTGTCTCCATCGATAGGTACAGTCACTTTCATCACCTCTGGAGAACATTCCACCTTCGGTTCAGATCCTGAAACAAGAAGAGAATTTATGTTATAATACTTTAAAGTTATTATAAAAAGGAGACATAGTATGTTCATTTGTTTGTAGTGAACAAACTCGGTAATTTGTCAGCAAGGTTTGCGCAGTGACTGGGCTTATTTTTAATTCTTATTTTACGGAGGGCAAATCATCGAATGACTTCTCCCGCCTGGGTGAGGCGAGGGTGTGTTAGAATCTTACTGACTAATAACCACCCCGTTCCTACTCCTGCACTTCGAGCCGGAGCCCCGGCAACCCGTTAAGTCTTCCGCGGTTCCGTATCGGCATCAGCCCTGTTAGGCCCCATCTGTGGTGGTCTGATGGCTCCTTGAGTATGCTCGGGCCTGGTTCTGGTCGGGCGGCGAGTCACCCGTGCTCGCCGTCCGCAGGCCCGTGCTTACGATGGCCGGAGATCGTCTCGCGATCCCCGCCGCCCGGAGTGTCTCTCGCGACGGCCGGGTCGTGAGGAGGTTCGTTCCCTCACGCGCTCCGCCTCCTCCTTAGCTAGCATGACTGCTTCGTAGAAGTAGGAGACGGCATCCCAGTCCCCTTCGCAGAAGGAGGAGACGGCATCCCAGTCCCTCGAGCCGGAGCCCTGGTAACCGTTTACGTTCATGTCGGTACGGCGCGTCATGTTCAGCGCGCGCCTCAAAGAGCCATCAGACCACCACAGATGGGGCCCAGTAGGGCTAAAGCTTGTGGCAAAATGGTTAGTTGTTTTTAGTCAATAAGAGTCTGACAGTCCCTAAAAAAACGCTGATTTTTAGTTGGCTGCCAACTAAAAATCTAATCTATAATCTACATTGACGCATGGAATATCACGAACTTCTGATGACGATAATAAACACTACAATATAGTTTTGACAAAAGACACCCACTTAGCAAGTCATAGCTAAAATTATCGTTCTAGCTAACTTGACCTTTTCTCATTATATCCATAAATGTTAAATAAACAACGCATCACCTCGGCGCATATTATGTGCATGACTTAACTCCAGGTCACCGGTTGTAACAGGTTAAACAAGATTATGTCGGGGTTTTGAGTTTATATTTTCGGGTTACCGAAATGTTTCTGGTTTTTTGATATCGATGCAATGACGCAGTTTGTATTCAATGATGGTATTTGGTCGATGGACTCGCCTATATTATATATACATATAGGGTTGCCAACTTTTTTGACGAAAAAACGCATATATTTGTTAAAATAAGAAAAATATTTTTTTTTTATATATTCGTCATTTTTAACCGACTTATTGTGCGCGATTATGTTATGATTGGCTGCACCGATTATGATGCGGTTTTCAAGTATTTGTTACACCTAGGATGGGTGTTTACTCTTGAAACCAATCTCAATGTCAATGCAATTTCAATCCAATAAAATCTCAATAATTATTCAATGTCAAAACTATACAACCCTTATCGTAGCTTGCATGCATGTGGAGTACGGAATATAAAGCCAAACTCAATCAATACCATTTAGTTCATTCAATATCCACGCAATACGGATGCATTAAGCGCTAGTGTTGCTAATCAAGATTATGAAATTTCGCACCTGACGGTAAGCAATCGGCGCCGGTAATGAACACCTGAAACACCAGAGGCGTGTCGGTCAGACAAGTGCGTTGTCGGTCTTTTGGGATTAGGAATTTGAGGATTGTTGGGGATTCGAAGATTAGGGAAATTGGGGAGTGGGCAATTAGGCCTCCGGTTTCCTCCAGTTTCCTTACTAACCATCTTAATAGTCCTACCTATTTCTTTATCTAACATCACAATCCTGTTACGGTTGAAAAGACTTCAAAAAAACGACCCAACAAACTTCCAGACTAAATCACTAAGATCTCTGCCTACCCACAAACCGTGAAGTTAATAACATTGCACAGACGAAGGGCATCCAATGTACAAGTATACATAATTTAGATAATAAAAGTCAGTTCACACGCGAGCTCTGCCGGCCGGAACGAGCCACGAGCAACGAACCGATCTGTGTGGTGACACCTTTATTTCAAGTAATTAGTAGGACAGTCTTAAGAGGTATATTATAACTTTCGTGAGACATACTAAATTAATTATTATGTTAATCGGCTTTTTTTAAGGGGGGAAAATCATCGAATGACTTCTCTCGCTTGGGTGAGGCGGAAGGGAGTGTCAGACTCTTACTGACTAAAAACCACTCCGTTATTTCTCCTGCACGTCGAGCCGGAGCCCCGGTAACCTGTTAGGTTCTCCGCGACATTTTTTCGTTTTGCACACGTAATTTTTTGACGAGTAACTCGACTAGTTTCAAGCCATGCTAGAGGCTCATGAATATGAGCCTCTAGCTGCTCTGCTGCGCTGCTCCTGTCGAGTTCCTCGTCAAATAATTACATGAGTAAGCCGAAAAACATAATAATTAATTTAGTATGACAATCTTTAATAGTCATTCTATAAAGTCAAAGAATTTATTTCAATTAGATCATAGGTAAGACATTTTTTAATAGTGAAATAAATTTAAAATCTATACTGTATTTTGTTTATTGAATAGAAGGCAAACGAGCAGACGGATCACCTGATGGTAAGCGATCAGCGCCGTCCATGGACACCCGCAACACCAGAGGCGTCACAGGTGCGTTTCCGGCAAAAACAACAACGACGTTGTTTGAACAAGTAACGTACATACATACATACAACCGAAATAATACACGCTTTCTTATATATAATATTAATTATATAGTTTTGTGTTACGTTACGTCAAATTGCCTAAACTCTTAAGAACCCATTTTTCAATCATCAGTTAATTCGTAACTATAGAATAATATTGACAGTTGACAGTTGTAAGTACGGAAGAATTGTCAAATATTAAAAATTATTCCACGAGTATTGAAAATTTGGCCCTTCGGGTCTTGAAACTCATTGTCACCCTACTTACTAAAGAAATTCCAATTTTAGTATTAAATGTTTAATTGCAAAATCTGTTGTTAATATATTACTTCCTTACTTATTGGTCTTAGGTTCGAATTCCAAGTTCCTTATCATCATCAACAGCCTATAAGTGGCCACTGCTGAGCAAAGCCTCTTCTCACACGAAAAAGGGTTGAGCATATTCCACCAGCGCACGGTACGTTTGGCGCTTTTATCCCTTGACGTCCATAAGTCGAGCGGGCTCCCCAGTTCTAACACGTCTTTTTCGGCTCTCTTATTCCTCAGGCGTAGTTCCGACGTCCTGGAAGACAGCTTTAGTCCAAAAAAAAAAAAAATTAATCACCATGCTTGCTCAATGCGTGTTGGCGATTACAAACTTATAATTAGAAATTATAAGCCCAGGTTTCCTCACGATGTTTTCCTTCACCGTTTATCAATGGTGTCTTGATCTTAGAAAGTACATATATAACTCGGAAAAAGTCACATTGGTACTTGTCGTTGGTAGGTTTCGAGCCCGCATTCTCATGCATGAGAAGAAGGCGTCTTATACCTCCGGGCAACCACGACTTCCAAGTTTAGCACTCTTGATTTGTCAGGTAGACCAATAATTCCATGTGTTTCAGTTTTCAACCGACTTCAAAAGAAGGAGGAGGTTCTCAATTCGACTGCTTTTTTTAATTTGACAAACAATAATGTAGGACATCATCCGGTGAACCTTCATCTCCACACAATTTAATGATTCCAGTTTATGACTCATTCTCCAAAAAACAAAAAAATTAAGCACCTACAGATAAAATAAATGTATATTATTAGGTACCTGTAACCTACATATTTATATTTACCCAACCCTTTACGACATGAGTTATAAAAAAGTAATGCTATAGATAAAATGGTTCATAACATAACATCACGCCTTTTATCCCCGAAGGTGTAGACAGAGGTGTACATTACGGCACTTAATGCCGTGCGTCCGTGTTATGGTGCGTCGCAGCGCAAAAGGCCGGAGCTCAGCTTAGTCCTGTGTCCTGGGCACGAAGGCTCAAGTCCATAGCGCTGATTTTCAGCACCAGTTTGTTTAATACCGTTGGGGCCTACCGCACCTCCACCCACCAGACGGTGCCAGCGTAGGCATAGGCTACTTTCTATCCCGGGAACGCTGGCAAAGTCAGAGGACAGAAGTTAGTCCTATATTAATAAAATAAGAAAGGATCGCAAGAGCTAAGGAATAACAAAGAAAAAAACAAATTGACTAACATTATACATAGTTAATATTAGTAGGACATTATAAGCTAGTCGCGATGGTTCAAATGTTAAGTCTAAACATTTTGACTTGGTTCCATAGGTAGTAGCAATGATCCTGTTATCACCAGGTACTGGTTCTATTCCCGGTTGCGGCTGGTCACTCTTATTGTTTCCTTGTTGTGTGGTCTAAAGTAAAAGAGTTAGCGATATATAGCAGTTTAAATGTGGGAGAGTAATGTTTCGGCACTACCACGCCTGACCAGAATACCGACGTAAAACAACTATGAGCGCGGTTACAGGAGGACCAATTACCCTCCTCGCCCTTCCTAATTCCAAAATCCACAATAATCCTCAGATTCCTAATCCCCAAAAGACTGGTAACGCACTTGTAACGTCTCTGGTGTTCCACGTGTCTATTAGCGACGCCGATTGCTTACCATCAGGTGATCCGTCTGCGCGTTCATCGGCTTATCCCATCTAGTGACTTAGTTTCCTATTAAAAATACGTTTAGTACTGTTGACGGTCGTCGAAGGAATGGTTACCCTGGGAGACGCCTTGTCGTACGAAATCGCATCGCAGCAATTCGCATCGTAATTTTTTGCGTTGCGAATTCGCATCGCAGTTTTGTGTATGAGCCCAAACTCAATACCATTTAGTTTATACAATATCCACGCAATACGGATGCAATGGGCGCTAGTGCTGCAACTCAAAAGTACGAAATTTCACAATACCAATGTCGATCGATCAGAATTGGATTCAAGAGTAAGCCCCCTGATGTAAAATTGCTTGATTTCGCATTGTATCTCACGACTTTGTTATTTACTTTCTTTTTCCTTTAACCCTCTTCCGCCTGTATTCTGTCCCACACACATTTAACGTTTAACCCGTCTACCGGCGAGATAAGGCGCGTCCCTATATTTATGTGAGAGAGAGCCATGCGCCGTAAATCTGGGATGCGCATGCGACGCTCGCCATATGCGGACGAATAAATTAATTGTAATTTTTATATTGCACAACATCACGCCTTTTATCCCCGAAAGCGTAGACAGAGGTGCACATTACGGCACTTTATTGCACAGTAAAATGTAAGACCCACATTTCACTATTTATGTTATGAGTCCCATGTAATAGGGGGTGAGCCTATTGCCATATACCGGACACGATTCCATACTCCGTGGTTCTAACGAGAACTTTTTAAAAAACCCAGTAATACTTTGCCCGACCCGGGAATCGAAGACCTCTTGTCCGGCCAACGAGACACCCGTAATATTTATATTATAATAATAATTATTATTAAGTTTAAAGGTGATAATGAAGAATGTTGGTTAATTTTTCACCACGAGGCCAATGTAATGTATCGATACGATTATATTATTACTAGGGACCCGCCCCGGCTTCGCATGGGTGCAATATGCATGTATTATACATATAAACCTTCTTTAAGAATCACTCTCTATTAAAAAAACCGCATCAAAATCCGTTGCGTAGTTTTA